AAGTCATACTGGAAATCAGACAAAAGTTATTTTCCTTATCCTATATTCAACGAAAAAACTTGCCCAAATAGAAATTCGGTACCAGTCAGTTGGGGTATTAATATTCGTAATTGATATCACTATAATAGAACATTTTACGTTGACAGGAGGTTACCCGGCGTATTTCTATCAATCATTGTCCATCCAGAACTGGGGGGCAAACAATAGACATAAATCACCGCTAAGGAAATCACGTTCCTCGAGCCGTGTTTGTGTGGCATTATACCTCCAACTAAAATAATTCGTTGCCGTTGCCATGGCAACAACTCCCAAACAAATATGCGAGATCGCCTTGAAAAACTCACCTTTCGTTTCTTGGTGTTTTGCTTCTCAAATCTGCTCGGACATTCCACAGCTGTCATTCCAGAAGCGAATCCATTTTAACCGTTCCACACACAACACATGGACACAAGGCTTGACCTGAATTGTTTCGGCTAGAGTTTCAAACAAATTCGTACGTATCGATTCAAAAATGTACGGTTATTCCCTAGATTACACACACTTGATTTAGCTTGAGTCCGCCTCTTTTCTGGCTGTCTTCAACTTTCACGGTAACTTTTCGAATGTGGTATCGCTTGTACGAACACTCTGTACATAGATAACTGAGGGCACCGTTAACAGGCCACTTTTAGTGGTTCTCTTTGCGACCGGGAAGTTTTCCGAAATTCTGTTTCGATGTTCAGAGCGACGCCTGCCTGCTTCGAAGGGTTGGGACATACTGAAACACTGAAACTATACTAAAATAAGGGAAGTTGACGCAGTAAGCCGGCTACACCCCTTTTCAGGTTGCGTGAAAATCGTGAAGTGAACACCGCTCGCTAGTTGTCTTCAAAATTTCTTTGGTGTTCCAAATATAAACGATGCCGTTTTTATTTCGATCGATGGTTTTCAACTTTCTATGAGTTATTCATAGTGGCATGGATATATGTATGAATAGTTCATTATGGATTGTATGAAATATCATTTCAAAGAATATATTTATTTGTGGAATATGAAATTGGTCAAAGTTTTCTATCAACCAGCTTTGATCCTTGTCTCAACATTTTCTTCATTTTTTGCAATTTTATTTACTACTTGCCTTTTCTTATGCTTGACACTGCCTGTTTCCTCAAATTTTCCTGCAACCCTCAAAAAAGTTTCCAATATAATATGGGTACATAGTATCTTACAGGTACATAGGAACCAATTAGTGGACACAACACTTCAACAAGGGGGGCAAATCGCGGACACGTGTTTCTGGCTATTGGCCTCATCAGCGCGGTGCAGCCAAGTGTAAAGATGGGTAAACACTTGTTTGCCGAAAGCAAGAAACAACACATATGCACGGAGTCAACAACAGAAGCCTATCGCACATTTGTGGTTCTAGTTAGAAGACCTAGAATTCCCAGGCTACATCTAACATGACCACGTAGGCAGCTATAGCTACCTGCGTGACATCCGGGTCCAGGATATAAATACAGACAAAGAAGATTTTATCGAGTGTGTATGATATACAAATCAAAAAATAAATAATTAATGGACATAACACTCCAAAAAGGGGGGGCAAACCGCGGACACGTGTTTCTGGCTATTGGCCTCATCAGCGCGGTGCAGCCAAGCGTAAAGATGGACAACACTTGTTTGCCGAAANTTTTTAGTCAGTGGTAGTTTTATGATAACCTTATGATACGCACCTAGGCTGCATTGTTGAATTGGAATAATTTTTGACATTTTTCTTCATAATTTATATGGATGTCCTTTGTTATTTCTGTCATGGTGAAAAATTTTTTTGTGTTGTGATCTTGTTCTTTTTATTTCGATTGTTAATGGCAGTGGCGGTGTTAAAGTGGAGACGTGAACCTGTATTTGTGTGAGGAAGGATAATAGCGCAGGGTCATGAGTTTGTTTCCTATATCTGACTTATTTGTTGTTCTACTAGAAATGGTTTGTGTGTTGGCTATAATGAGGGAGATGCAGGTAGATTTTGGTTTTGTTTGTGTTGGCTGAATGATTTATATTGATGTATAGTATATTTAATTTAGGTCTTTTATATCTGTTCTATCATAGAGTTTTCGTTTTTTTTTCAATATGAATAATTTCTCTCTATGAACTCTATGAATAACAGAACAAACATCAAATATTTATGGACTTCTTGCAGAATCTTCCAGGATTGGCTCACTCCAAAGCGTTTATCTACCCTTCGAAACTTGATATCAAACAGTTGTTGGACTACAGTAGGGATGAACTACGATGTCTAACATGCCTTTTTACAGGTCACTGTCATTTGAATCATCATATGTAGAGACTCGGACTGTCGGAAGTCATGTGTGACGCTTCTGTTTGGAAAATGATGAAACAGCCTGCCCCGATGGGGACCGAATCAGGTTTTTAGAGTTCGGCAGAGCCGTGCTCTCACCATCAAACCATTCACCATACAAACTAATCAGCTTCGTCGAGAAGCTGAGTGCATTTAGTCGAATAAGTGTGAGCCACAATAAACCCTTGTAGGTTGCAGTGGAGGATCGAATAGACTTACTCATGTTTGACCTAACCTAACTAAATAAGCTGCTCTCAGCCAGTAGTATAATGTGCAGAACAATATCCTGATACAGTGAATATACGTCGCTATTGTTCGAGTTTGAAGGCCGTCAATTTTTTAGTATTTTTTTCTGAAGTTCCAGTGGCTACCTTCTTTAGAACGTGTTACATCCTGAGTCATCTCCGATGACTGAGTATTACAGTTGCGCAAAGCTTATTCATGTTGCCTCTGGTAGTTTGGTGTGCTAATACCTGTACCTGGATGAGGTAAATTGTCAATAATACTATTCGACTCTTTTCTACCTGCCGTTGAGCTGTTTGCTATTCTTGAACCTGCCTCCTGTCGGCTATGATATCCCTGGTTGCGAACAATGACTTTTGTGTTTTCAAACAGAATCCTGTGCACGCACTAGAAGAGAAAACCCCTTCCTTTTAAGACAGGTTAGAAAGTCTGCAGAATACTGGCGTGAGTTCATTTACTTTTAAACTACGATGATCGGCACTTAATCAGAACCAGATAATTATGCCGGAAATTATTCCTAATGTGGATTCTAGTGTGGGAATAGTGAGTGCTAACTTTCTCAGAAAATCGACTGTGGAGTGGGACGCTAGTGTTCAGCTAGTAGATTTGCCTTTTTCATGTCGTTGCAATTGAACCATCCTCTTGTGTTAGTGGAGAAATTGTGGATTTTATAAAGTTCTGACCAACAGCTTCTGCAACCGACCAGAAGGATCTTTACCCTTTGGGACTGGCAAGACATTTTTTCCTAATTCTCTGACTTGACAGATGTAGCTTCAACAATTGTAAAAGTTCGTAAGTCCCTGTTACAAGNTTTATATGAGCTACTCAGCTCGGAAAAGTCTGAAATTATTCATTCGTCAGTGTAATGTAACTATCTTTTTAATGAATGAAGATGTTACCCTTAGGAATTGCAAAAAGAAAGATAAGTGAAAAGATCTCATCCTGTCGCCAGGGAAAACTGAACACTTTTTATGTAACGACAAAAAAAGGTTTGAAATTGGTAAGAGAATCATACTCTAGATCCTGAGATTGAACAGAATGAATCGTGAAAGTTATTGCTAATGTATATCTGCTGCTCCAATTCCAGTACATCTGCTTTGCCAATGCAGGCTCATGTTTCTTAAAGAGATAATAATAATACCGTAATTGACCCCCAGGTACCTCAGAATTCCCAGGACCAAATAGATTGGGGTTATATACAATGACCTTATAAGCCGCAATTCTGGCAAAGACTAGATAGCATTGCGACTCAGTTCAATCTTCAATTTACGTCTTCTTCCATTTAGAGATTTATTATATATTCCTGTGGTGGAATGTTGTTCCGGAAGAATTTATTGCAACTTCAGCGTCAATCGTTATTGTAGCACATGGTAAGGGAAATAGTATATCCAGAACCTTTTTGCAATGCTTGTCTATATTCATAAAAATAATGAGGGAAAGAGAATTGAAACCCCTGTAGGTACTAACAGAGGTACTTGACTTCATTGAGTACCTGAATTTACTGTTTACAATGCGGATGTGCTAATTTGAAAACCGGTGAGTATAAACACCGGTTTTCCCACAATGTTTATGCTTGTGAATTTCCAAGGATTCTTAATAATTGAGTTTGGAACCCTTCCTTGCAAAGTGCAAAATTTCCGTATCGTTTAGATTCGGGAACTTATGGTTGCGTGCCAAGGAATGGTTTGGAAACGGCGAATCATTTTTTCCTAGTCTGAAGGACCTTTCATGCTCAGCATACCGTTTTTGGAAATTTCTACCACATTGTCCCACATAAACACTATCACATTCGGAAACTTAAGCTTATAAACTCTAGATTTCTACAACTTGTCCACCTTATCTTTGGCATTGTAAAGGAAACCATATAACCTGCTATGTGGTCTGAATGCCACTCCCACTTTGTTTTTTCTGAAGAAACCCGCAACTATCTCTGTTCTTTTTCCAAAATATGTTAGTTACCCATTTCTTGATTTCTAGTGTTTGGCCTGAGGGTATATTAATCTGTAAGTGAATTTAAGGCTTTGTTTTCTGACTATCTTCTGGATAGTATCCGCGTTGAAACCATTATTATGACCTATCTGTGTAATTATATCAATTTCCCTAACTATATTGTTAGCAGACAAAGGGAGTGAGAATGCTCTGTGCAACATTGAATTGTAGGTTGATAATTTATGACTGTTCGGATGGCAAGAATCGCTTGGGATGGTAATGCCTGTATAACCAGGTTTTCTGAAAACAAATTTATTCTGATTGTGTGTAATTGTGAAGTCTAAGAAATTTATATGTTTCTATATCTCTGTTTCGAGTGTGAACTGGATGTTGCTATTGAGATTATTCATGAATTTCATAAATTGGTTCAGCTGTCGTGTAGTTCCCCTGAAACAGGCGAGAATATCGTCTACATACATACCAAAAACGAATATGTTTTTTACCCAGGTCGCAATTTTTTATAATGGTCTCCAAGCTGTTCATAAATATGTCTGCTAAAAGTGGACTGAGGGGTGGGGCCATTGGTAAACCTGAACCGTGTTTATAAAATTTGTTGTTGAACTGTAAGCAGCTCTGATTTAGGCATACATCGAACGCTGTTGAAACTTCAAAGAAAGTCATATGGTCTCTTTTCTTCATTGTGATTTCCTACCAAGTAGTAACGGCTACATCCATCAATTTACCCATGAAAATAATCATATATGAACACAATTATCACACCGCTATTTCAGAAAGGAAAATGGGATAGAAATAACAACACGAAGTCAGAAAATGTATATGTATATATAGATCTGTGTCTGGATGGAAAGAATCGCTTGGGATGGTAATGTCTGTGTAGCCAGGTTTTCTGAAAACATTGAACTCAAATTTATTATGATTATGTGTAATGGTCAGGTCGTATAAATTTATCTGTTTCTCTATCTCTGTTTCGAGTATGAACTGAATGTTGCTATTGAGATTATTCATGAATGTCATAAATTGGCGAGAATATCGTCTATATACATACCAAAAACGAATATGTTTTTTACCCAGGTCGCAATTTACTATAATGGTCTCCAAGCTGTTCATAAATATGTCTGCTAAAAGTGGACTGAGGGGTGGGGCCATTGGTAAATCTGAATCGTGTTTATGAAATTTGTTGCTGAACTGTAGGCAGCTCTGATTTAGGCACACACCGAAAGCTGTTGAAACTTCAAAGGAAGTCATATGGTCGCTTTTCTTCATTCTGATTTCCTACCACGTAGTAACGGCTACATCCATCAATTTATCCATAAAAATAATCAAATGAACACAATTATCACACCGCTGTTTTGGAAAGGCAGATGGGACAGAAATAACAACAAGAAGTCAGAAACATCATATTTAATATCATCATTTGACAAAAACCTCCCCACATTCACTGCCATCTAGAATTTCAAAAATTGATATTATATTTCAAAAAGGATTCGGGTACATCGTTGGTTCTGGGGTAGGCATTCAATAAATTTACCCTGTTCATAATAATGATTGGGAATAAAGTGCTCGTTTATAAAATTGCGTGATCTTAATACTAACACTTACAAAAATATAATGGGGATATTATATCATGTTTAAATCACTATCCGCATGCTAATTGATACCTCCTGCACTCTACCAGTTGGAGTTCAATCCAGATCCAATGAATTGGATTTTTGTTTCTCTTTCTTCGAGCCACTACCTAATAGACCATGAAACACTTCATTTAGAAATGAGAAAATGAAGGAACCCAAGATAAGTTGGGAAGTTAATGAGTTCTATAGGTACCTGCCTCTGATAATGCAACATAAGATTTTTATTATCACCAATATGGAGGTGTACCACACGATTTTTGAGAAAAAAGTTCATGCTAAAGATGTACTTGTCATGTATCTTTCGTTTATTTCGATTATTGATAGACATTTCCAGCTCTGATGGCACAATAATATCATTATAATATTCAGAACAATTAAATCATAGAGTTCTTCATTACATGTAACATGTTTCTGCTNATTTAGGTTGGTATACCTGTATGGTTGGTACGCCTGGATGGTTTACCTGAATGGGTTACCTTTATAGCATAAATAGGGTTAGCTGACTTCAGTTTCTAGTTTTAATCTTCCTCTTTGAAGATGATCACTTGGTGATCGAAACACGTACCAAGGTGTTAAAAATAACGATTTGGTGTTGGGAAAAAACTCCGGTAATTTTCAATGTCCTTTATACCTCCAATAGGTACCTGGAATAACATAAATAGTACCTGAATTATCAACATCTCATCAAAGATACCAAAACAATAACAATTTAACTTCCATAATATATCAAAATTACTGAGTATCGACCCAAAACCCCTCCTTGTGGGTTGCTCCAAATGCGACAGAATTTTGACTGCTACTTTAGGATCCATTGGTATTTGAAGCAGTCCACAAGTATTTTTTGGATCAATACTCAGTAATGTTATGGAAGTTATATATTTATTGTTTTGCTATCTCAGATAAGATATTGATTCATGTAACATTTTGGTAGCAAATTGCCAACAACGACTCTCCAGGCACCCACTGTAGGTACATAAAGGACATTATTTTTAACACTTGGATACGTGTTTCAATTACCAAGTGATCATCTTCAGGTGGAAGATCAAAACAATTTGGGAGTAAGATTAAACTGGTTTGATCACTTGGTGATTGGAACACGACGTGTCGTGGTGTTAAAAATAATTGAGGTTGCTGAGGTCTGTACAGTTTTTTAGTTCGGAACAGTGTTTCGAGCTTTTGAGAATCAACCTTTACAATTCCAGTGCCAAGACATATTGGTATCCATTTTGACCCCCAACAAACTCATCAAAGCTGAAAGCGGAATCGTCTGTCCTGACATTAGTATATCCGGTTCGGAGACATTTATCTTTTTGGAGAAAATCGATCCTGGATTTTTGTGGCATTGAATTGAACCTAATAAGTTTCACCTCAATTCCAAATCACTTCCAGATCCTCATTAAGATATGCATCCTCCTGCTGCCGGTGAAGATGTGCCTCCGCAGCCAATGTTCTGGAATCCAAATGGAATGACGAGACAAGTGTGCTTTCATCAGCAAACCAATATATTGGATTCTTGTTTTTTTCCAAAAAGTCGTTGATATACAATAAAAAGAGGGTTGATGACAAAATAGATCCCGGGGAACACCAGCGTTGATGCTAAAAATATTCGAAAGATATACAACGATATCCAAAAATGATCCGACAGGCCATAGCATCAAAGTTTGGCCAGCAACTCATGCTACACACGGTCAAAGGCCTTAAAAATATCAAGCGCAATAGCTCTTGACTCTCCATGTTTCTCGATTGCTTTATTCCAAATATGTGTGACATACAATAGAAGGTCGCCTGTTGATCTTTGTTTCCGAAAGCCAATTATGAAAAATCTGTATCATAATGGATATCATTATGAAACGGATTATGGTCATATAAGTGTATTGTTAGAGTACGGGTGTAGAAAAACTATTTTTGCGTGATAGGAGAAAAATTAACTGGAAATATTCACATTCCGTATGATCCACTTGATAATTCAATTGATATTGATATAGCAGATAAGTTTATTCTAAATGACACAAACCTCTCAGAATTGAAAGGAGTCTTCAGGAAGATAAAAAATAAACACACTTCAGGAATTGACGACATCTCCTCGAAAATTTTCGAAAATCTACCAGACAATGCTTCTTCAATACTAGTTGACATAATAAATATCTCACATTAGGAAGGACTTTTTCCAAATTTTCTCAAAACGTCTATCGTTATTCCTCTCCATAAAGGTGGAGATATTGACATCTCTTCTAACTTCCGACCTATCTCTTCAATAACAACACTTGCGAAGATTATAGAAAAACTAGTCAGGAGAAGACTAGTTGATTTTCTCGAGAGAAACCAGATATTAAAAAATGTCAGTTTAGATTCCAGAGTAGAAAAAACACTCATGATGCCATTTTTTCATTATTGCACAGTCTATATAACAAATTATATGAAGGAGAGATTGCAGCAGCTGTGTTCTGTGACTATCGAAAGCGTTTGACTGTGTAAGTCATGGTACACTGTCTGTGAAATTACAACAGTATGGTATAAGAGGTGTAAGTCTCAATTGGTTTGAATTTTATTTATCTGAACGTAGTCAAATTGTTAAAACGACTATAATTATTCTGAGGAAGGAAAAATAAACTGTGAAGTTCCACAAGGCTCAGTCCTAGGTCCACTATTATTTTTTTGTATATGAATGATCTGACATTTATTGATATTAAAGGAGAGTTGACAGTATTCGCTGACGACACTACAATTTCATGGCATGATCAAAATCCCTCTGAACTTGAAATAATAAAGACAATAAAGCATATTTTGACTTTGTCTTTGATGGCTCAAGATGTTAAAGCCTTCCAAATATTCAGGAATAAGGTTATTTACAGCTTTCTCTATGATTTTTCATACCACTGATAGCAAACTGTCTGGCCAATAGTTATTTCGAAGATACTCTTTCCACTAGAAAGTGAGACAGTCGAAAATAGATGATTAAACTCCAATCTGATATTGCTGGAAAAACAAGAGCGGATAGTGATTTTTGTCTATCTAACTAAACTGTATATGATTCAACCTCCCTAATCTCGAAGTCGTCGAAATTATTTGACGTACCATTCATATCTACACTAACAAACGAATTATCCGCCGCCATGGATTGCACTGTAGACGTGGTGAACTCTGTGCTAGGTGACTTGACCGACGTAGTGAACTCTGTGCTAGGGGACTTGACCGACGTGGTAAACTCCGTACTAGGCGACTTCACATTCTCCAAGTCGGGGGACTCTTTCTCCTCTTTCCCCGAACCACCCTTCGAATTGACGAGCAAAGCAGAATTTCTTCTCAAATTGACTTGTTGCTCTACGATACTAGCCAGCACTTCCGTTGAGCTTCCAATAGCCATTGCCGGGACGCTAGCTAGGCTGATTCCAGTTTCCATTATGTTTATGGGATTGTTTTCGAAATACACTGAAGGGAAGAAAGGTTTGCAGATATTGAGGTTTTCTTCGCTTCTAGGCAGTTCTCGGGGTTCGGAGGAATACTGCCTTTCGAACGTGGGCAGATATTTAGGTTGTAACGGTAGAGAGTCCACGCTGCAGGTGGTAGCAGGGCGAGGTTGCAGAGGAGTCGCTGCTAAGTTTGATGCAGCCGAAAATACTGGAAAAAAGAAAATACATTGAGGAATTCTACTGCATAAATAGCTCTTTCGTAGTGAACAACATACTAAAAGTTGATTCTTCAATCGATTATGTGGGATATTTAAAAATTAGAGTGAAGAATTACCTTTCATTATGTTATTCACTACGAAAGAGCTAGTGCGATAGCAAAACATGTCGAGAGAATGAAGTTTCTGAAGATCAAATCGTGAAGTGTGGTTTATGAAATGAAAATGTTGGAAAAACAACTTCGTACGTCAACGATTCTACAGATTTTGTGGGAAAAAACTTTGAAGCTAAGTGTTATTCTGGTCAGTTTCGACGTCGTGTCCTTGTTCACCAACGTCCCGCTGGAAGATCCTTTGAGAGAGATAGCCAACCTGTTTCCTAGTGATATTGTTCAAGTTCTACCTCAGGGAAAGTTATTTCCAATGGAAAGGAGATTTCTATGAGCAATTAGACGACGTAGCGATGGGAAGTCCACTCAGCCCGGTGATAGCTAACTAGATCACATCAATGCTCAACACCCTAGTATCAAGTTCACCATGGAGACTGAACAGGAACAACGAATAGCTTTTCTAGATGTACTCGTCGAAAGGCGTAGCACACGACTGACACATAAAGTGTACCGAAAGCTGACACATACGGACAGATATCTGCATGCAATTTAGAATCACCATCCAAGTCAAAAGCCGAGATCAACAAGGCCATGAAACTGAAGACTTCCACACGTCAAAATAGGGAAAATTGGGAGAAAACTCAAACGGTTGTACGTGCATTTCTACCGTACATTCCTAGGGTGACAGACAGAATCTTAAAAATCTTGGGAAGGAATAAAATAAAAACAGTGTTCAAGCCCACTCGGAAAGTACAACAAAGCCTTAGATCTGCGGAAAACAAAAGAGATCCCCTATTAGCTGCGGGGGTATATCGTGCACCATGCACCTGCGGAAAAGTTCATATCGGTACCACCAAAAGATCCGTGGGTACAAGGCTGAATGAACATCGGAGAAACTGTAGAACAGGTCAAACAGACAAATCGGCAGTAGCGGAACACGTGCTGCTGGAATTGATTGCTTCCTTCATTTCTTTGTAAGATCCCCACATTTTTTTATCAAGGTGGAGTGGTGGAGCCAAAAACTTGTTTTCCTAATTGAAAGTAGGTTCCACGTCTTTATACCCTTTTTGGGGGATTATATGAAGCCGAATTTCAAGCGAGGGTCTGTCCACATATTTCTGTAATCATGCTTTTGATTTCTGTCAATCAGTTGATGTATGTAAACAAGACTGCGAAACATACCTTGAGGTGGGTGCAAATTGTAGGGTCCACTATGATTTAGGACAGCTATAGTTGGTACAGAAGGTCCCTGTAAGGCCAGTCCTACCATATTTATTCCATTGATGTTACCTAAAACAAAGTCAGACTATAGTTATGTGTTGTAGTGAAATTTCAATAATTCAATAAATATTTAGCAATTTTGCTGTTTCTCTACTTATGTTCCCCAACGGAGCTCCTATTTTTGTGCCATTATGATGACGTCGGTACTCATATTGTGAATATTCAGCACGATACGTTTCAATAGTTCAAACTCCATTCATAAGTTAACTCAACAAGAGAAAACTTAGCGATTGGAGCTGTTTATAGAATGGAAATGAGTAACAAACAAAATCATCATGAACTGAGACCCCAAAAAACGAAAAAATTACGATTTTTTTTGTAGGCAGTACCTAAGAAAATGATTTTGAGGGATTCCTTCATAAAATTAGGAAGCAAAGCAAATGTATTTGCTTTGCTTCCTAATTGTATTTGAAGCTTTTTTGAGAACCTGGAAAAAATTCAAGTTAACAAAGTGAGACTCGCTAACCAATGTCAACATGTAAAATGACATCATCGTTTCTGTCAGTGTGGCGATTTTTGGACCTCAGGCCGAATCACACGAAAGGGACGAATGCGAATGTCGTGAAAATTGCAAAAAATTCAGCTACATAAAAAAATACAAGTTTTTGCGCCAGAAGTCGCTTTGTTCATCTACTGATTTGAATTTCCCGCTGAACGCGCGGTAACTTCCGATTGGTTGACTTAATGACGGCAGAAATGGAGGAGTGGGCTCTGAAAGTCTAAAGCCCAATTCATACAGAATGGACGTCTGGCAGAGACGAGGCGCGGATTTTTGTCTCTTTCGTGTGAACTGGGCCTGACGTTCAAAAATCGCCAGAATTGAACTGCTCAAATTTGCACGTGTTTCTCCATAAGGAATGGCGCGTTTCGCTAACCAAGTTAGCGTCTTCAGGAGATCATTATGACTCCTGAGGATGCTAACTTGGTTAGCAGTTTCACAAAAACGCAACACGTGTTTTGCCATACAAAAGCTTCTTCAGGCCTGTCTTTATCAACTACAATCTACATATTCAATGCTTCGTATGTATTTTTGCATTTTGAAGTACCTGAATTTTACATGCCCAATCAATGTTAAAAATGTGTACCTCAGTTTGAGAATGAATCATTCAAAATAAATTGAGTTTATGTATCAGTTAATCAACAGTTTTCACATTTGAAAAATATTCAGTAATGGGGAGTTATTCAATTCTATTTGGTCACTCTGGACCCGAATTCTTAAATCTACTTATTTCTGAACATTCTAAAAAAATCGAGACAAACGTTTCTCTTGTAAAAGTAACACGTCATGTGATTGAAAAATGTTCTCATGTTGTTTGGAAAACTGCAAAAGTTCCTTATTTGTTTTCCAATCCAGTATTGAATTTCAATAAAATTTAAAACTCATCTGAGTATCACACGCATTTTCAAAAGAAATAATAATCTCAAGAAGTCGTCATTCATCTCAAAAATTTGACAATGTCAAAAACCCTATTGAAAAATAAGTATCCTGAAATCATTTCTCCTGGAAAGGAAGTTTTCTTGCTGATGCAAAAGAATTGAAATATAGAGAACTACATTGGAATCCATAGTTGTAGTAATTCTCGTATAGGTGGCACTACGAGACCATATTTCATGATAATTATGAAAATAGTTTTCATAAAGAGGTATAACTATTAATTTATCAAAACAATGGAAATTTTTCTCGACAGGAATTTCGTGTATATGGATATTAATTGAAATCGTGAAATATTTATAATAAAACTATTTTTGACTTCAAGAAACGAAGAAAAAAATAAATTACAAAATGAGAACATTTTTTGGTCAACCTAGCATGAATTTTTCCAAGTTCTCACACAATAAAGGTGTAAACATAGCTTATAAAGTCAATAATGATTCAAGCTTGCAAATTAAAAATAATAGAGGAAAGATTTTGGTGTAAAATATATCAGAAGTTCATGAAATGTCATGTGTCATGAAATGTCACTGTCTTATATATAGGTCGAGCTGAAAAAACATATAAAACAAGTATGAAAATGCATAAAAGGTTTCTAGTAATTTCACATTCGGAAAGAAGTTGATTCATGTCAATAATAACAATATTTGTGGTCAGGTAACGAATACTGATGAATTCATACACAATCAAAATGTTGCATGAATATGAATCTGAAGTCCTCATCAAAGTAGGTTGTGCTACTATTTTTGAAACCATCGAGAAAGATAGAACAAACGTGATAATCTGTACTTCATGAAATTGTAACGCGTGAATTTTCCATCAAGAATACAGCTACTCATTCCAGTCAAACAATTTCTGTAAAACTAATCATATTTCTTTCATCACAAACATCCCTGGATGAAAGCATTTCAAATCTTTCACTCCTTGCTAGAGGCAAATGGCTCGTTTAAAATTCTTATACCATGATCCACTGCAGGAGAATTTATTTGAAACGTGATTGCAATCTCCAAGCTTTATTTAACTATCTTAATTTCATCTTATAAGGACTCTGAAGTGGAGAAATTCTTGATAGCTTCTTGTTGATGGAAATCATCCAGAAAAATCCAAGTTATTTTTCACAAGGAGCGAACATTCCAATGAGGTTTATGAGAATTTGTATCTGCAGAGAAAACTCTATTCAATAACAAAGTAGAATTCTTATTATTCGAATCAAGTTTCCAAGACACACTGAAAAGTGGATTTCAAAGAAATTCAAGTTTGAAGTAAGACGTTGCTGAAACTTCAAAATATAACATCCGCCCTCGTAGTCAAGGCATAAACCACTGATGATGTCTACCGCAGTACCAGACAAAACGTTTAGTACCATAAGTGCCATTCGACCACAGTGTACCAGCGACGGTTTTATTCTCTGACTTAGTTACAAATTGTGTCATGAATTTCAGAAACATATAAAAAGACAGTGCTGAAAATGAAAAACAAAAAATTTTTTTGAATTAGTCACGGTTTTTCTCATAATGAAGGAACTTCCATGACTGTTCAAGATGAAAATGGAACTAAAACTATCTACGCTTCTCGTAACATAATTATTGTAACGAATTAAAGAATTAACTGTCTTAATCAAATTCATTTTTGACAATATTTCACTATCACAACTAATTTATATACAACACTTAGTAACTAACGCTTAATTTATCTTCACAGTTAGATTTCTTTCTTCAAACGCACGATTCACTTTCTAGGTACAGACTACTGCTCGGGACGGAGAGCGGCCTTTTTATATCGTCAACGAACGCTCCGGATCTCTAGTTACTTCACAACGTTTTTTTTTAACAAATTATGTACAAAAAAAAGAAATTGGTTGGCCAGAAACACTTGCACGCCTCAGCATATAAACCGCCGATGAAAATGTTGAGAAAGTGAAGAAAACTGTTATGAAAAATCGTTGAGTCATCATTAGAAAAGTTGCTGAGGAAGTCGGATTTTCTGTTGGCTCATGCCATATGATTTTTTCGTAAATTTTGGACATAAAGCGTGTGGCAGCGAAGTTCGTAACAAAATTGCTGAATTTCGATCAAAAAAACGTCAAAGATGATCTAGATTTCCTTGAAAGGGTCATAGCTGGGAACGAATCATGGATATAAGTAGGGATGGCCGGTTTCCAGTCCACCCCCACTCCTCCACTTTTCGTCATTACCCAGTCGACCAATCAGAAGCTATCGCGTGCACAGCGGGAAATTCAAAGTGTTCTCACTTCAACAAGACATGACCATCATGACATCGAAATCAAAGTCCAGTCGCCCAATGGAAGACCTCAGGAGAGCCAAGACCTAAAAAGCACGCCAAGTTTGTTCAAATTCACAAGGTTTTACTCACTTTTTTCTTCTATTACAGTAACGTGGTGCATCGGGAGTTGTTGTCACATGGTCGTACGGTCAATGAGGAGTATTATCTTGAAGTTATACGCCGCTTGCGAGGAGCAATACGAAGAAAACGTCCGGTATTGCAGAAAAACTGTTCATGCCTCAGCCACCGTATTCCCCAGATTTCCCCCCTGTGACTTTTTCATATTCCCAAGATCAAAGAGACCCATGAAAGGACGGCAATTTGCGACGATTGATGGGATAAAATTAGAATTTCTACTCAAGAGCTCAAGGAATTTTCCAAGAAGTGCATTTAGACCTGCTGGCACAGTATATCTCAGAGGAACTGCTCTGAAAAGGACAGAATAGAAATTGATCAATAAATGAATATTTTTTGGGAAAAAATGAAAATTTGCCTTATTTTTTGAACATACAGCGTATGTGTAGTTTCTTGTGCTAGTCCCAAAAATAACTCAACCAATTTGGAAGCACTGAGGTACGCTTCACTTAATATTCAACGTTTTATTCATTTGGGACGGTTCATGAGTAATAAATCATAACTTTTTGTCACGGACAAGATAAATGTCTTCATGTGTCAGTGATATTCATACGCTCATTTGATTTGATTTCAGCCACAGGAATCTTGTTTGAATTCCACAACAGAAATCCTCAATGACACGCATATACCACTGAGGATGTCTGCCTCAGTAGCAGACGAAACATTTATAGTCCGTTCATAATTTGTCGATAGCACAAAATGAGGGCCCAAGTCATAAAACGGTCGTAAAACTCGTAAAATCATAGGCGGAGGTTCCTGAGGTGTTTATTCATTAAATATAAAGCTTCAGTTTATATTCGAAACTTGCCTTGAAAGGGTGAAGTTGTTACGAACGAAAATAATTTTTGGTTTAGTACATTTTTTAATCGCATTTAATTTACGGCTCGTTGGTGTTTCGGCGTCTACGGCAGTAATTAACGTCTCTAATATTTATTTTGCGAATTTTGTGCAGTGCGTNATATTTATTTATTTAAAGTAACTAATGTTTTAATCATATACTCTACGACACTGGTCACTCATTTCCACTCAAAATACCTACATAATCGGATTAAAAGTTTTATAGCTGTATTGTATTTCTTCAGATACAAGGTGGGTTAGTCGAAAACATCTTAAACTGCCAGTTTTAGTTTGGTTTTTGTTATTATATCATATTAGCTGTCCTCTCTGTATTTCAGTTCTCTAATGAGGGTCAAACTTGCAGTGAGCTATCAACAAATTATGAATGGACTATAGTAATACAGTTCTATTCAACTTCGCCCTATCAGCCCAAATGTTACTCTGTCTAATCGTGACTCTGACCATGAAAGTCTTTGTTCTTGTATTTTTTTCAAGATACTCATTTTCTTGGCATTCGCATCTCTTGCCGCGAATCAATTCTGGGAATGCGCCTAGTTCGAGAAAAAGTTCACAGTTGGAAATAAAATATAAGAAAAACAAAGCGATATCTCAGAACTGCTGTTTCCTCATCTGATACACATCTTTCTGGAAATGAATATGACAGAAGCACTAGAATATTTGTTCTGAACATTTCATTTCAATATTTATGTAAGTTTTCGATGGCAATTGAGCTTCCAGACTAGGTTCATTATTCGAGTATTCTTCGAGAGTTTCAAAATCGAATGATCCAACGCATAATATGAGAAATTGATTGTTGAATTTGGAACTCTGGAATAATCGTTCATACAAACACACTTAAATGAAAAAACAACAAAAGGAGTTACTTTGGGAAAGAAAGTTTTTGGCCTTCTACTACCCCAGATAACACAAGATGTCCTATGGATATCCCTTTTATATTCATTTCAGGTCCGGGATATCCCGGTATTGAAAAGGATATCCGATGGATGTCCGTGAAGGACAAGCGTATGGATATCCGTCGAAGGATATCTTATGGATATCCATAGGATATATGAGAAGTAAATGCAATTTCATGAATCAAAATTTATACCCAAAATTGAATTTTTCAAATGTTAAATTTGTGAATAGAAATTTCAATACATGTTGCTTATTTTGATTACTATTTCACATTCAATTCTCTAATATTCTATTGAAATGTCGTATTTCACTTTATATCTATAAAAAAATGATTATGGAAATATGTAATAATTATTTCACATAGGTATACTAAACTCATCATTCCTGATGATTATATGTATGAATAAGAAGTACGTACAGTTCTGTATTTGCCTTGCTGTTTAGTATCATCGACAGTTCGTCGGTTGGTAGAACATAGTAGAACTGTTGGTTTTGACATTTTTTCTCATTTTTAATCCTGAATTTTGGCTCGATTTCTTGACTAATGACTGTGGTTTTCGTGTTTATTGAGGAAAAAAATTTTGGAGCAATTGGCAAAGAGAAGAAAAATGCCTAGTAACCCTAGTCTTTGTAGTTGGGTGTTTAGTACATTTATTGAAATATGAAAAATCATAACCTCAAAAGTGGAATTCTCAACAAAGTCCATACGAAAGCGAGACTTGAAGTTTCGGAGTTGAATCATTTATTAAGTGATGATTCTTTCCAATTTCTCATACCTTCTCAATCAATTAAAAATGATTTCCTGTTGCTAATGATTTTATATCTTTTGCAGCTGCATCAAAAAGAAATAATCCCGCAACTAGTAACAAAGAAGTTGAGGAAGCAATAAAAAAATGGCTGAGAGCCAAAGAACGCCATACTTCAGAAGCAAATAAAAAATAAATATATTTTTTTGTATATTTGCATTAGAGGTTGATTTCATTTTGTTTTTGTTGTTTTGTTGTTGTTGTTTTTGTTGTCATGAGTTGCCAAATATGTTGAGTTAATTTGGTATTTTAATTTGTTTTGAGAGTGACAAGTATTTTGTTGTTTTAAATTTATTTTTACAAATACAAGTTTTAATCAATAGGAGTTTTGTTTTATTCTATGAAAATATCAAACAGACGTCCCTAATGAACGTTCTATGGATATCCATGACGGATTTCCTATGGAAGTCCAAGTCAGTAACATCCGAAAATCCTATGGATATCCATATCGAATATCCATTGGACGTCCATGATGGATATCCTATGGAAGTCCAACTTAGTGGCCTCCGAACATCCAATGGATATCCATAGGCTATCCGTTGGACATAAAACGGATATCTTATGGATATACGAAATATCCGAGAAGGATATACACTGTATATCCACTGGACATCCGTGTGTTTATTGGGACTCTACTACTACAAACGGGGTCCTTCATCATATCACAAACTAGGCTGGGCTACAGCTGGGCTGGGATACAGCTGGGCTGGGCTACAGCTGGGCTACAGCTGTGAAATTTGTACACGAGTCTTTTAAAGGTTAGGGTTAACCAATAATCATGTGGATTCAATACTGGTAGCTGTGTGTTAGCCTACCAACTTTTCAGTCCATCCAACACTACAAGTTGCGGTCATTCTATTATTTGATATCAATTTCAAGAAAGAAATAGTTATTCATGATTTCAAAATACCTACAAGGTACATACCTTCTTCGAACGCACTTTTCAAAATTATAGGATTGTGTTTGATTGCATTCATCCTTCTATTGGTTCCCTGCTCAATTTTTTTTCTTCTGGGTTGTTCAACAGGTAGAACGCTTCTTCTCTGTTTCGGTAATTTCGCACGAGCCTGAAATACATCATTGATACTCTCAGCAAATGTTCATAATAAATATAACGGATTATCCGAAAAAGACACCTAGACAGATATATTGTATAATGTTTACACGTGAAATGTTATCAACTGATGACATTTTTGAGTAATACAGTTTCAATTCTCGAAAAATCTACTCACTTGGTATGCAGTACAAATAATTTTCCATGTGGTGGAGGAGAGTTTACTTACAAAAGGTCCGGTAGTTCTCTCAGATCAACTACTCCCCTTTCTAATGCAATGACGGGTATTGAATGATATAAAAAAAGCATTGTGCAATGTTCCTTATAGGAATCAAGTTACAAAGGCATCCGAACTGAAATCAACTTACAGAACTTCATTTCGATACGGACATGGTGACTAACTGCAGGCAAATATCAGTCAGAAAACAACTAGTATCCCTTACGGACATAGAATTACATTTGGCATCTATTTATACAGTGTTGCCCAAGGAGAACACTTTTGCAGTGGTACATGTAGAAAACTATTATTTTTCATATAGTTGAGGATAACCACCTGCATACATGTTTATCCCAATGTTGTTGCTATCTCATCAGGATCGGCTGTGTTGGACAAGCAAACCAATTCTTTTTATTCGTTCAAAACTCTCCGACACGCCTTCCGAACTTTGTTCGATTCTATACGTTTTAAATCATCTATACAGTATGCAAAAATATTGCATTTTTTCCAGTTTTGAGGTATGTTTGAAGTTACAAGTCCTTTCAGCTCATCTGTAACTTATTTCCAAATCGATTGCAAAATTTGAATCAAAGAGACAAGGAGCCAGTACAAACGTGAAATAATTTGAATGAAGAATTCAAAGCGTTTCATAATATTCTACATCACTACCAAAACACACATTTAACTTCCCATGAAAGTTGTTTTACAAGAGGTAACTGCAGTGAAAAACTCTCTCCGCGGCAAGTTTCAGCACAAACTTTGACAGATCTGGTCATCGGAACTGTCGGAGAAGAACAAAGTTGCTGCAACAAATATGCTTGCCGTTCCAATCGTCCGTTCCACGGTTGTACTTCCCCCGACAACAGGAAGGCCGTGGACTTTTGAGTTTGGCGTGTCTACATGACAGAATGGTACTGGATATAGCCTGTAAAGTCGTCAGGAGTTCGGATCTCCTTCTCTGCATGGTCTGTGACCATGAGAGAGCAGGAATTGGAGCATTTCTCCTTAGGACAGCTGCCCGAGCAGCTGATGAACTTGGTATAGTTTTCGACTCTGAACGAGGTGACCACAACTCTGTCACCGAGTTGAAACCCGTTCAGCAAAAAGCTCAGATGAAAACCGCAGAGATCACCTTACTTCTGCGGAAACACAAGGATAAGCCACTGCATGGGGTCTTCTTTAATAACATTGAAAGGATGGTGTCTTCAACACCTCAGTCCACCACAGTCGCATGATGGGTATAAAGGTTCATGACACAAAGTGCAGGGCCTGCCGCAAGGCGCCCGAGACCCTAATGCACTTGCTATCAGCATGTCTAGCATATGCGGTCTCGGCCTATATACATCGACATAACGCGGCCCTAAGTGCTATATTACCATTTAAGACACTCCTACGGTATTGAAGAGACACCGGTGTTGCCCTACGCTCCGGGGGATATTGAATCTGTTGTGGGGAATGAGAAGTGCCAAATTTATTGGAATTATTCGTTTCCCACCCCAGAGCCATACAAACTGATGATTCTGATGTAGTCCTTCTCGAGTACCAGAGTGAGACAATATTTGTCGTGGAGTTTTCAGCTCCTAGCAAGAAATCTTAGTCGGACAGATACAGAAGGCTGTTATTCTTGGCTCACTGCGCTTGCTCATGGCACATGATTCTCGGACCCAATGACCATAACTTCATTCATTTTGTTCAACTAAATTCTCTATCAAATGTATATAATGATATATCTATGAATAAACATTATTATTATTATTATTCATTTGAAAGGTTTCACACAACATAACAATAATAACAATAGTTGAATAAACAAAAATGGCGATGTGTGTAAAAGCACTTGCTTCGTTTAACAGAAAACTTTTAACATGAAATTGATGCGCAGTAGTCGTAAAAAATAAATGTGTGAGACCGATACATCAATGGGTTCGACAAAAGTGAAACTGCTGGTTCTTTTAGGATTATGTTTGTGATTCAGCTTTCAATGAGGCCCGCATATTTGATAGATCAACGAAAAGAACCGAGTTGGACCGAGTACACCATATCGTTCATGAGTTACCTACACAAGCATGCTTCTTGCAATGCACCAAATGGCAACGTTCCGCCGGATATTTGGCGGAACGTTGCCATTCGGCTGCCATTCGGCTGTCATTCGGTTGCCATTCGGCTGCCAGCCATTCGACTGCAAGGTTTGCCGAATATCCGGTACCTGGCAAAACTACTTCTACGACTTTCATCCTTTGCCATTGACGCATACAACTTTTCTGGCACCAAGCATGTTTGTGTCTGTTGTAATTTCTATCTTTTGTACTACTAAAATTGTCGTATTCAGAAAATATTTTGCTTACGTAATAATCAAGTATAAAGAGTGATCTTCCGTGTGAACAGCCTATGATAAACTTACTTGTGTATGAGAATAGAACATGGAGAAATTTGAGACGATCACTGGAACGGGCAGCGCTATCGTCAAAACTCCTGCAAGTGCACATAATGCTCCAACAAACATACCAGCGTAAGTTTTTGGGGCCATGTCACCATATCCCACTGTGGTCATCGTTACTATGGCCCACCATAATCCTTCCGGTATACTCTTGAAACTGTTGTCCTTGTTGTCCTTGAAGAGAGAAGCATTCAATTGAAAGTGGTATATTTTCTCACTTGGGATTGATTTTTTAATAAGTAATAACTCAAAACTGAAATGGAATGACCAGGGCCGTAGCGAGAAGAAAAACCAGGGAGGAGGGAATCCAAATTTTCCCAAGCACACCAGCAAAATTTCCTAACTTTCGAGAGAATGAAAGCCGAGGGATTAGTTACTACTATAATATATTAATTTTCTTACTTAGCTATCCAAAGATTGGCTAAATGCTTATACCCGTTAGGGTATGCACAAACAAAAATAAATTTTGGTAATTAATGGGAATTATTCTACTTTAGACCAAGATCCTTGGTCTTTCACCATATTCACCATGTATAGGAATATTCAATACAAATGAAAGGAAACAGCAATCAAATATTATTGTGCTTATTGGTTTCTACCATTATTTTTTTCTATCTTCACATCCCGAAATTTCCCAACTTTTCCAAGTCAAAAAAACAGCGAAAAGTTGGGAATTTTGTAAAATTGTTACATCATCAACATTTGTGGACTGTTCTCTTACTTGGGAGAAATTAAACTTTTTTGAAATTTTCAAACAACTCAGAATTTCAAAGTATGGGATCTCCAAGTTATGCATGTTGGGAAATTCCAACCTTCTCCTGGTTCTTTCCCTTTTCTCTTCACGGCCAAAAATTTCCCAACTTTTTCCCAAGTCGATAAAGCAGGGGGGGGGGGGCTTCCCCCATTCCCTCCGTGGCGACGGCCCTGGGAATGACTGGTTCTGATATTTGAAATAATTTCAGAACAGTGAAACCATAAAAGGTAAAAGGTAAGACCTCGTTAATCCTCAGCTCGCACAAGTTTCGACTGACGCCTGTCGGATATAATCCAACGCCCTTCGTGGTATTAGCCAGGACAGTAGTTGTTTTCTGATAGGCGTCAGTCCATTAAACCTACTGTGTAGGTATATAGAGACTGGCTTGAACGTTTTGAAGTTCATTTGCTTTAGATTTATTAAAGAGTAGAAAGTTTGCCAAAAACGACCATCGATTTGATGATATAATACATAGGCAAAATTAGGAGAATGATAACATAATACAGAATCATTTTCTTAACTTTCCACTATGGAAATCATAGTGTGGCTCTTTTAGGCTTCTTAAGAGGAAAGGGGGCACCTTAATAGGTCTTTTCCAACTCTCTGTATAGAACTGATTGATTTTTGCAATCGGACTGACCGTTACGGAATGTTTTTTTCGTGGAACTTCAAGACCTTTGGAGCAACAGCTTGAACAAAAATAAATTAAGAGTATAGCCTCAAGTTGTATGTAAGTGGAATGAATCAACTGAACGGCTTTCAAATGAAAGGAAAACATTTCATATTCTATGTTACCAGAGACAAAGATCCTCGTATTTTTCCACTGACAGAAATGATGTCTTTTGTTATAGGAATATTTCTGGGCATTTATTCGAATATAACGATGCTGATATTGGACAGAAGATTGACGTATTCCCATTGACGGTTCAAACGATAAATGGAAATATGTGCATATGCTGCAAGAACTCAAAATATATATAACGTGGATGAATTGGATATAGAAAGAACACTAGACTAGAGTCAATTGGAAATAATGAAATTGAAATTCATTCATTAATTTAGGAATCCTAATTAACATTCGAAAAATATCGACTGCTAATTTTATCTTTTTTTGACTGAAACTAATAAGCAAGAATGTACATGAATATTGAAGGAAGGAATTGAAATTAATGTCTAAACATAAAATTCACATGGATGCATCAAATTTGTATTAATTAATGGCGACAAACAAAGAAATGTGTAAACTGTTCAATACATTTTTCGACAGCATTAAAGAAATTGTTGACAGTGTGAATAATGCTGATGATATCTTTTCCCGTGAAAATATAATTTCATTTGACATAATCAGTTTGGAGTCGGCCTAATTTGCTTCTTCACTTTGTATTTTCAGAAAATAATAACTACTGAATAAGCCAGATCATTCTTTAAAAACAATTTCTCCAAAATATTATTATACATCCAACAAAATTGGTAATTAATGATCGTGTACATGGCATATTCCATTAAAATTAAATTCAGGATAAAAGCCGCCACAGAAATGATTTTGGATCTCAAAGAATAAAACATTTGGAAATATTTCCTTCCATTTTCATTTCCATATAAAACGAGGCATTGATCTGAAAACGTATCGCATAATACAACTTCCCACGTCAATTATACCATAACTCATTTCCCGCATACCCTGCGGTACTTTTTAGCAGACTCCCGAAAGAGAAAAACAAACAAAAGCCGCCTACAGTATTCCATGAATTTTCCTGCTACTTTAACAGGTAGAATATTGAATTTAGAAGCTTTCAGTTCAGAGGTAATATCAATTATGATACATTCATGAAATGTTTCGTTGTCAAAATATGATGAATACTTTCTTGAAAACGATATCAAGGGGAAAACAAAATTATAGTATTATCATTACCTCATATTATTCAACATTCTCAAAAATTGTACCATAAAATTTCATTCATGTCTTGATAATTAGCTCTATATAGATAGATAGATTCCCATTCACGAGGATGTATTTGAATGAAATGATCAGATCTAGATCTTCAATAAAAGTAACATCCTTGTGTCAGAACTATTTTCAGAGGTTTTCGGCCGTGATCCGTAGGTTTTTATGTCTGGCGTTTCATCTGCTACTGCGGTAAACAATATCAAAGGCTACGAGGTAACGATTGAAGTTCTCAACGCAGAAACTCAAATGCCGGAATTTTTCTCCGGTTTTTCATCGACCTAGATAGGCATAGCTTCGTTTTTCTCAATTGGATTACCTGACCTTCTGACAAAAAAATTCGTATAATTATTATTATTGAATTCCTGAATTTCATTGGGTCCCCCCCCCAGCCCCTTCATACTCCACAAAAATCACACGGGAAAATGTCAATTTCATCACAAATTATTTTCATTATTTGATGAATCTCACCTGTAATTTTTCTGCGTAATAAACTAGGCTAGCAAAAACTACTATTCCCAGGACGAGAAAGAACACCAAAAGTCCCAACTCCTTGGCGGAAGCTTTGAACGTGTGGATGAGAATTTTCAAACCAGGCGAATGCCTAGTTAATTTAAACAGTCTGAATATCCTGATAATACTGAAAAAGTCCAACAGCTGTGATTTTTTTTCGGACATAAGGATCAGGTCGATATAGAAACTTAGGGTCGCTGAGAAGTCTATGATATTCACCGGAGATTTCACAAAATCTACCAGACTGGGAGACACCTGAAAAAAAAATATAATAATAATAATATGTCTTTATTCACACTTAGTTATAATACGATAATACAATAGTATATCCCATAATAGTGTGTAAGGGCGGAATTCAGTCGCCCCTATCCAAGGATACTGGTGACTGCTCTTCCATTCAACCCTTAAAACAAAACTAAAGAGAACGAGAAAAGAGAGAAAAAAAATAAGAGAAGAGAAAACAAATCCAAATCTAGAGGTTCACAGGCTTTACAAGTGTAACTTGAAGTCACGAAAAAATATATAGTATTTACAAATCAAAAATAATAGTAATATAAATGTTTTTAACTGCGTGAATGAGAATCAGATTAATGCAAGGGTGCTAAAAGTAATTAGATCATGAAGGTTCCAAAGGAAGTGATAAAAACAAAACAAGAAAACAAAGGGAGAGGCTTGAAGGCAGAAAGCACATCAATTATTATTGATCAGACTTTTAACTCTTGCTTTCGTGGCACAACACTTATATTTGAAGTCTATCCTCAAATAACATGTTTCTCAGTGAGTAGTTGAAAACAGATTTATTCATGGTTTTTAACGAGTCAGGAACGGCATTATGGATCTTTGTTACATTGTAAAGAAACTATCTTTGGTATAGTGAAGTATGGTGTATTGGAGGTGTATTGGAGGGGAAAACCCTTCAATAACTGAAATCAAAAGTGAACAAAAAGCTGTTTCTCTGTCACAATGAATGGCTCAGTATCTTGCGTTTTCTCCTCGGACAGAATTCACAGCTCAAACTCACCGAGGCATAGTTCTTATGAGCCTCCTGATGTTTTCTTGAGGCAAACGACGCTACCACTTTTCACAAAGAGCGATTTTCAGCTAATCCAAAGTGTTGACTTGGTTTTAACGTCTTCGGATGCTTCTTCTCAGTCTATCTCAGACATGTTCGATGGGATTCAGGTCCGGGCTGCAAGCGGGCCACCCCAGAGTGGTGATATTGTGGCCTTGTAGGTTCTGACGCACGATCCCAGCAGCATGGGGAAGGGCCCCATCGTGCCTGAAAATTGAATGATGCCTTCCGTATCTGGACGTCCAACACCTCATTAACGTACCTTTGGGAGGTCAGGGATCCATTGCGGATCACTACAAGGTCTGTACGATCATTGAGTGTCATTCCACTCCACACCATTATTGATCCACCTCCAAATGGGACCCTCTGAGATAAGCAGCAGGGAATAAAACGTTATTTCTTTCTTATGTATACTCTGGCCCGACCGTCATTACCAAAAAGAGTCAATTTAGACTCATCAGAAAACAGTACTTTACGCCAGTACCTTAGCTGCTAACGTCTGTGTGTCCAAGCATTCTCTCTCTTTTGTGACGTGCTGTAAGCCAAGGTATCTGGACTGGTTATCTAGACACCAATGAATCATTCCGAAGTCAATTTCGCACAGTCCGGTCAGTAATTGGGTCCCCGTTGCTCGACTTAGCTCATTTTGTAGCTCCTTGGCTGTTGAAAATCTGTGTCTGGCCACATAGACGAAAAAACCTTTCCTCATGGGCTGAAGTAGATTTCCTCCACCCTCAACCCGGCTTTCTAGGGACAATCTCTAGTTGTTGGTAGTGATTCCAAAGTTTTGAAACCATTGATTGACTAATACCTAACTTTTGAACCACCTGACGTTGAGAAACACCACCCCCAGTCCATGTGACAGCTCTAGTGACATCATTGTTAGATAGAAATCTTCTAAAACCTGCCTTGGTATGTAAATAGGAGGCACAAAGAGGAAATGAGTAAACTGCACCTCGTAAGTTTGATTGAAATCTGGTTAGTACTTGGAATAGTGCTCTTTTCCATTCCTGTTTTTGTATATTTACAAAAAGATGAGAGTTTTCTATACTAATCCGAAGCAAGTGGCAGAAACAAACTCTGTTATTTCTTATCAGTTGTTTCTTGTTTGTTTCTTATCAAGGCTCCCTTATCGTGGGCTCCCCTGCGATAGCGATGCAAAATGGGGATATACTCGAGCGTCATTGAGACATATTAGGTTGCAAAGCTTAGATGATAAGAAGAAAAAAATGTTATATAATATATACCTTTTCATCGGTTAGAGAATCGGCTATAGATTTTTAAATATGTCAAAAAATTCTGTTGCAAGGACATACTCGAGCGCGTCAGATATTGATAGAATCAATGTACTACGTATTTTTAATAATGTTGGTATGTTAATCTGATTGTTTGCATGATGTGGGTGGTTGCACGTACCTAAGGGTTGAAAGTGAAAAGAAAAAAAATTTATTCGAGCGCGTCAGATTTTCTAAGGGAGTATTAAGTGCAACAAAAAAAGCGCAAACTCGCGGCCATTATTATAATGTGCAAGAAAACCATCATTTTGAAATACTCAAACGCGTCAGATTAAGATATATATGGTTCATCTTTATATTTCAGACGTGATGTCTCATAATCTGATGATTATCTAGAGGGATTCGCCTAATCTGACAAAAACAATACTTTTTTTATTTTTTTTTTTTTAATTCACTGAACTTAATTGATTGAAAAGCTCAGGAAATAGCATGCAAACAAATAGGTGTATGTTTTTTAAGTAGAATACTTGTACTTATAAGAAAATAATTTTTTTAAAGTTCAAAAAAATTTAATTTTTTGTGATAAATTGATTAATTAATGAAGAGAAGATAAATGAAACTTTTTATGTTTTTTACCACTTTTATTTGTAACCAACGTTACTGCAGTTTTTTCCTATAAAGACGTTTTTAAACTTATATATTGTATAACTTCAAAAATGTCCTTATATATTGTATAAGTTTGAAAATGCCCTCATAGGACAAAACTGCAATAACGTTAGTTGCATAGAAAGTTTAATTTCTCTTTTCCTCATTATTATTTCCTACCAGGTAGTAACGGCTACATCCATTAATCAATTGATTAATTAATCTTCATTTTCATCACAAACGAGTCTAGAGAAAAAGTTAATAGAGAATAGAGAAATAGTAACTCGGTGAGGGAAATATAGGTATCACACAGCTGCACGCGTTAAACTTTTTCGTCGAATTTTTGTTATTTCGGCTTGCGGAAATTGTCAGACTATATATTTTTCGTTACCTTCGAATTATTTCCTACAAAATAAAAAAACAGCTTCACTCGAAAATGTCGAAATGACATTATTTTTTTACAACTTTGCTGCCCTCCCCTTTCTTTACGTCACTCTCAAATTGTCAGATTACTGGAATATACACTTGTTAGCAGGTAATCAACTCACCCTACCTTAATCTGACGCGCTCGAGAATTTCTGATGATCAATTTTTTTTACTAATCTGATCCTTTATCCCTCACAGGCGGCCTTATTTGGTGAAGGTACTTAACCGGGTACCGGGTACTCAACCCCCTGTATATTAATCTGCCGCGCTTTAATAAATCCCGAAATCCCCGCTTGGGCTCCGCTATTGTTATCAAAGTTGTTCATTACCAAAGGTCTAGTTATTATTTTTATCAACTTGTACACCATAATCTTCAAAGTAGTGATCCTTTAATTGTTTTGAGGAGTGTATTTCAATCAACTTCATCATTCCCTGATTCCTAAATCAATTCAAATTGTCTTTTGATGGTATCACAGTCGAAAAGAAAAATACATCCATAAGGAATTTCAATAAAAATGCTAATTTGTAGAATCATTTCCCAATCCATCAAAGAAGCATTATTCATATGCAATGTAATGTTTAGGGAACATCTTTTGAAGAAGTGTTTCGTGAATGAAATGAGGAAAAGGAATTAACATAAAAGCCAGTCACTGATACGTTCACAAATCGAAAGTTCAATTTATTATTCGGAGTTTGCTTTATCGTATTGAGCTGCCAGATGTGCCAATTCAGAACTAAGCACAGTAATGTAATAAGCTATTCATCCGCATGAGAAACAGGGATGAGAGGATTATGATAAACAGTATTAAATTCCATTCCTTTGATGTATACAGAACTATCAAGACTGCAAGAAATACTTCTCAAAGAAAATTTATTTCATTGTATTTCCATTTCACGTTTATCAAAAATATATGATTCGGACTTTGAAGTTATTGAAACATAGTGTAATAATATTTCAGTTACGATTTGCTCAGAAGAGAATAAGGATTTCCACAATTATTCTTACTCATGGAAAAGGTCTTTAAAATGATTGGGTGCAAATCCCTCACGTATGCTAATGGCAGAAAATATTTTTTGATGAACAGAAGGCATTCTAAAGTTATCGTGAAAAAAATTCTTGCTCTAAAATTCAACACATTGTAGTTCTAAAGTTGAAATCTCTAGGACATATTTTCTCTTAAAATGGACCTAGATATAGGTTCCCCAAAAATTGACATGTTCAATAAAATACGTCCTGCATAATTACTGAAAATGACAAAACTTGACTGAACCATTATACCGCCATGTTTTATTTCTGCATGAAATATGAAAATGGGAAAACTTTATTCATAATCTACCTGGACAAAAGAGACTAGTGCGATTTAACTGAGTTATGAGCATAGTTTTGACATTCTTTCTCATTATTTTTACAACTACTTCTGTACCGAATGCGGTCTCCAAGTATGAAAATATGAATAAAAAATATTCAGCAAGACTGTTTGTTATCTCTTCAGTTGGTGCAGAACGATCAATACCCTCATTACCTTTTGAAGCAGAGTTTCGTGAAATATACTTCCATAGAAAGTCCACTGCTTAGAACATTCAAATATGAGGCAATTGAAGGCAATGTTATTTTCCAGACATAGGTTTGGTCATGTCGAAAACGCCAAGAATCAATGCTTCTCAATGGTTTGGCCATCTTACCTTGTAACGAGCTAAGAATCCAACGTTGCAGGGTAAGACCTCGTTAATCCTTAGCTCGCACAAGTTTCCACTTTTGAGGGTTGTCGTTCATAAGATAGTTACAGCTGGTGTGACAGCGAGAGAAATATATTATCTGAAAGGATGGCAGATCTAATCGTTTGAATGCAAACTAGCTAGATTTTTTGCTTATATGA